GCGCTTTAACACTGTTGCGTTCTACAGGTTCGTGACAACACTTGATGAAGAATCAAAACACGATTTATTCGTCAGTATTACACAGGAGAGTTCCAAAGACGTTTACAGCCGTCGAAAAACTACGATAAACACGCTGAAATAATCACCAACACAGCCTTTAGGCTATCAGACTATAACGGTGAAGACAGCTTCACGGCAAAGCACTAATGTACATCTTCCGAGTCGGTTAGTCGCCCTCGAGTTAATTTCTGAACTCGGAACATTTCTACTAACTACTTCGCCAACGTTTTCGCTAAGTGGGCGATTTCGCGCCAAATCTGGCAAATTTAAACTCGCTTCGCGGGGAAGCTAGCCTACCGCAGCTGGGTTTTCTGTAATAATACAAAAGCTCAAACTTAGGATATCGTACTATTAGTTGAATTCTATAAGTTGAAACATTTGCATATAAAATGTCACTGTATTCATAAAAAAACTAATATTCACGAGTCCTTGTATTACTTTCGTTTTTAAATAAACACTGGTTTCACTTTTCGATCTCAGCGACTACCCTTAGATATATTTTTTATATGTCTGTAATGAAGTTTTTTTTAAAAAAAATTCAGCATTTGATTGAACAGCAGACTTTATCATTTAAACTTACAGGAAAAGCTAAAAACATTTCAAGCTCAGATATTTTATGAGCGAAGTTTCTTATTATTTCTTACTGGGTATTATGTTAGTAGCGTAGCAACGCAAAGCATTTTTATTTCATTCAAATGTTGTTGTAAATGTTGATCTCGAATATGACATAACTATGAGAAGAAATCTTCTTGAATATGACAAATTAGAAACACTAGCTTGTGTATAGACCCACTGTAAAACTGTCATAAACTATGAACATTCATTCATACTGCTATTAATTATGAAATGATAGTGGATAAGCAAGTTCCAATTTACTCTAGCTCTTTTCAAGAAACTCGGCGGTTTTTTCTTCTTTAATTGTATCCGCATTGGAAGTTACGACTTTAATTCTATATTATGACTTGAAAATAATACAGTTAAGCCTCACTAAAAGAAACTCCTTTACTTGTATAATGACCGAAATCTTAACGAAACATAAATTATCGTTAGAAGATAGTAAATAATACAGTCAGGTCTTAAAGCTACTGCTCTGCTATTCCGCCACCCCCTCGGAATACTGAGAAACACTAAATTCGTAATAATTTTGTGTTAAAGTAATTAATTTAGAAATGCAAAATATTTCAGTCATTTATTAGTAAAAAGAACAAATTGTTAAAATAAGCAATAAGTTAAATAATATTGGAAGAAACGTAGGATACCGTAGACAGCATCAAATTTGCCTGAAATATGCAAGTATTAAAAACATCATATATCTCATGTCCTTATCATGAAACTTATTGGTAGTAAAAACTGTGACCCTTCCACATTATTTAACAACCTAATACTAGGTATGTATTTTATTGTTCTGCATGTAGCATTATTTACAACATTAAAGAGTTCCATATCGTACAGTTGACAATCACACTAGTTTCCTGCAAGACAAAATACCCTATTATAGGAAAAAGTTTCCTGCAACACAAATGTCCTGTTGTACGCACAAGTTTCCTGCAACGCGAATCAAGAACGGAATTTCCATTTATGTAATCAATCGTACTCACCAACATTCCAGAAATAGCACAGCCCCGTTGTATTAATAGAATACAAAAACCATTCCGACGAACTCATATTAAACCTCCGTATGTACTACCTCTATCCGAGGACACCTCGGGTAGCGTTAATATTAAAAGCAAAAACTGTCTATTTTTGACCAAATTATCAACTTTATCTATATAGCAGAACTACATGCATAAGCAGAACATAAAAAATCTGTTGCCGATTTCTGTTGACAACTTCAGCAGTAATCCGAGGTCATATGCACGATACACCTGTTATTAGCATTTTCAAACCTTTCCGTAGCATATGTTAAAAGTGATATTTCATGTCGTCGTAATGTCATCAGTTAAGTAAATGAAGAAATAAAAATTAAAAATCTGCAAATTTAATTTTAAAAAAAATATTTTACTGTACAGGCTATAATATAGAATATGATATAAAAGTAAGGAGATCGCAAGCATGTTCATAAATTTAACAAATTAAACACACCAAATATAATCAAGATATGTTTAATCACATGTGTAATTAGAACAAAAACTCTAAGCCGGCACAAATTCCAGTGTTTATTTTTGGAAATATCAGAGGATTTCATAGATTTTGCGGACCTCTTAGCTAGTCATAGAGTGCTGGATTTTTTTCATTGCTTTTTTAAATTTCTATTATAAATGTTAGATCATTTTTATACTTAATAGTTTTATGTTATTTTCCGCTAAAATACAGTGCATTGTAACCCTTTTCCAAATTCTAAATTCACATTCAATCCCGATGATTGAATTACTCTAGTTTTGATGGACTTCTGGAATTTCTCGAAATCACATAAGCCACTCTTCGTTGCCGACAACAGTTTTCGATGCTGTACAAAACCTTTCACACCGACCTGCCTAGTGAAGAAAATTTGTGTGTGTGTGAAACACCATTCAATTAATTTGTAATCTTTGATCTAAAACAGTGCTATATACGTTTCTATAATTTAATAAGTTTATAAATGTTCATTTGAACTAAGTATGTGTAATATAATTTTTAATTTAGTTCCTTAACCCTTTTCAACACGCTACCTTTTAAATTCAGAGTTTTGATAAAAAATAGGCAGTCTAATTAGGCCTGGAGGAGTACACAAATAAAATTTAGTGAAGATAGCACTTATCGTTTTAATTATGTGGGAGTGCACAAAGTGCGCACACTCATTGGAGCTTCGAAAAAAGTGCTGAAACGAGCATTGTTGTCAATGAACTGAGCGATGAGATGCGGAGAAACAAGGAATACAGACTCTCAGTTGTCCAAGATTATCGGTGAGCCCGATCTGGGCACACCTAGAGTTCGCCGTTTGATTTTAGGCAAGATTTCAAGGTAAAAATTTAAAACTAATGTAGAAGAAGGAGATTATCATACAGCTAAAAAAATAACATATAAATTTCTTTTCAAACGATTCTTTTTATACCCTAAAAAAATTTGGAAGATTTCTTTGAAAAACGAGGTTCTTAAATAACTAAACATGGCTAAAATATATGGACTGTTTTGTGTTGAGCTGCCATCTACTCTAAATAAAGAAGGTTCAGAGTAACCTATAGTAACCTATAAATCCTTTTTTATTCAGTTTTTCTGTGCATACAGAAGGAAATTTTTAGGTGCGTCCAGACCATACACACTGTTCCGCAAAGGGTTAATAGTTAATTAATTTACTGCTCTGTTTTTTGAAGATATTACACTTCCCCGAGATGTTTGTGTAAAACCTCTTCTACGAAAGTTTTGGTGAAATCATAAATGTGAACCTCAAGGTGTGAAGGTTTTGCAGATTTAAGTATTTAATCGCGAGCATGCTGCGAATTTTACTGTTTGCCTCTGCAATAAAATTACTATCCTATACGTGGTCTCAAACGGTGTGACGTATGCGTAATGATACTTGAGATGATTTATTCATTATTTACCAACAGTCATATTCTCTAAATTGTGCATTATCAAATCAAAGTATAATAAGGAAACTATTAAAGTACGTTTTTAATATTCTATATAGGAATTTAAATAAATAATTACAATTAAGGAAATATTAGTAACACTATGAGGCATATCAAATGAATTGCTGAACTTATAATATCATTTTCGCGCTGATTTCAAGAGAAGCAAATAATTTATCTAGAAAGCATAGAAACAGTGATTCTAGAAACGAAGAGCACAAGTAACATTCTAAAGGTTTTCTCAGTTTGCTTTAACGCAAATTAGAGATCATTTTTATAGCGAGTGACCTAGATTTTGACAGAAGTTAAAAAGCAAAACAAAGTGTAATCGACATGATATCTTGTTACTAAGAATTGTTTCATAATCGAAAAGACATATGGCAGGTTATGAGGTATTTCTCCCGCCTTCGTGGTGTAATGGTCAGCACACTCGGCGCGTATTCGAGAGGTCCGAGATTCGAAACACGGCGAGGACATTCTCATTTTTCATGTCTCCTGCTTCAAAAAAATCCTAAAGACTCTACAGTGGCGCCTGAACTGGAAACGATGGTGGATAGTGATTCTCCATCACCAGGATTTGGCGAATGGGTGCACTAATCCCAGTCGCCTTTAAAAGGAGGAGTATATAAGGCATTTCTCCCGCCTTCTTAGCATGCATTCGTGGTGTAATGGTTAGTACAGTCGCCGTGTATTCGACAGGTCCGAGGTTCGAGTCCCGGCGAGGGCGTTGCTCATTTTTCATGTCTTCTGCTTCAAACAAACCACGAGGTAACATTAGGTGATGCACTTTATTGGAAAACTAGGGATTTTCAGAAAAACCCAGCCATTTAACTGAAAAAAATAAAATATACCTTTCGTATATATATGTGTGTATGTATAATTATTTGAAGTTACTATTGGGGAGAAAAAAGTGGCATTAAAATCATTCTTATTTATTTCTGTATCGCATTAAACACCTATCCTTATTTTGTGTAATTTTTAATAACGCTATTTCATTCACCGTTTTGTTTGCTTCCTAGGAACGCATACAGACTATTAAAAGAGATACTATTATCTTTTCATTAATAATTTGTAAAAATATGTTGAAGAATTTTGCAGTAACAAACGTTTTTTTAATGAGAATACCTTTGTTGTTATTCCAAATAAAGCGCGTTTTTTTTCTAAAGGAGTATTTTTTTCTAAAAAAGCGTATTTTTTTCTAAAGGCCTGTTTACACAAAGCGCATTTTAACCGATATTTAATCATTAATTTGTTTAATCAGACTTAAGTACCTAAACTAACTAATTATTATTATGCAAGCGGTTTATGTATAAATTAATATCTATTTTCAGAACATGAGCTTAATTTTTGTTCGGATTTCTTAACATTATTCAATGAATTGTCTTTCTTTTTTAGATTAGAAAAAAAGGTTTAGATAAAAAGAATAAGCATGGAAATTGGTTGGTATTTGATGTGAAAAAAACAGTAACTAATTGGCTTAAACACCCAAAAGAAAATTTTGGATTTGCTCTTCATTCTTCTGGATCAGACGTTCAAAGGTTGATCGTAACACCAGAAGAAAACTATACAGAAAATATGGTAAATATCTCTTTTCTGTATCTTGTTTCTAATTCACTCGAGAAAATTAAAGTTGATTATTGAAATAACAATTTTTAATTTCTCCCAAAAGCGGCGCAAATGAAGCAAAATTAAATCAGTATCATACGGGAATTTTCCTCTTTTCAGAGTGTTTCTTTCAGAGTGTTTACTAGCATATTTTTATTAAAATAGCTGAAATTCCTATTGCATATCATAATTTCCCTTATGAACTATCATTTCCTTTACGATTCTTTCAATATTTTAATTATCCTCCATTTAACTGTAGTTATTCTTCTGTTAAAGTATTAGCTCTGTCATGATATCGTGAATGAATGTCCTTATAAAATGAGGAATTGATGGCAATATGCTTTTATGTTGCAAGTTATTCATTCACAAACCATGTTCAGCCATAAGATCCCTTCAGATAACATCTTTCGTATTTGTTATCTTCCGCCATTAATTGTGGGTGTATCAAGTTGCTTTTAATAACGTTTGGTAATTGAGTATCTAACGTTCGAAGGATTGTATCTGTTATGTGAAGCCGCTTGTCTGTCAGTGATTTTCTGAGGGACTTAGGCACATTACTTTTTCAAGGGCCCCCTCAATACTTTTCTCGTTAGGAAAACAATAGGATTATGAATAGATACTTAATCAGAAGTCAAACAACAAAAATCATTTTGAAGCCCTTTAAAAATCTGATGCTGTGTGCCCACCCTTCTAAGCCGAGGCGGTAGTCATGAATGTATCACATTTATGCTTTAGTGTATTTAAACAAAAACTTATACAAACCGTATCTTGCTTTGTCATAATGTGTGAAGTCATATAATTGACTCTTATTACAAATACATAGATATTAACTGCAGCAAAACATAGTTCCAGTGAGAATGTTCGTAAATAGGGGCTGGGTTTTCAAATAGATTTCACTCCCATTCATACTGGCAAATTTTTCCAGAAAGCAACAGTATGAGATATCAGTCTTTCTCAGTCAAAGCAGTGGGCGCATTTTGTTTTGAAACTCTGCTACTTTCTCAAAACTGAGAAGAGAAATGATGATGCTCCATTAAATGCTGGTAGCATTCTACGTCAACTCTGTGGTATTAATTAACAACATAACAAACTATCACATTCTGGACATCAAACTCTGGTACAACGTCATTTTGAGATTCTTGGATAATTGGAGTGATTTTTCGCTGGAGACTGCAGTCGTTCATTGAATGATAGTTTCAGATCAGATTCATACCAGGACTTTGATTTCCGAAACTAAGCTAACCTCAAAGGAGAAAACACTTTCGCAAAAAAGAAAAAAAAAAAAAAAAAAAAGGAAACCTTCGAGCTTTAATGCTTTTATGCTCCTGACATTATGACATCACAAAAAATCGGTCTTCTATTAACATCCAGCCCCTTCTAGAAGGATGGCAGAAGGGTATAAATATGACAGGAGATTATATTGAAGGGTATTAACTAAAAATATTCTGTGATTGAATATCTTGTGATATATAAATGTGTAACCAAATTTTATATCTATATTTCCTATTTGCTTGTTTTTAACTGCTAAATATACTTCTTTAAGATTTAATACTGGTAGATGTCTCATCTAAAAAGACCATGAGATTTGCATAGTTTCTTAAAGATAAAGGAAATGAAATATTGATCTGTCTAATAAAGTATTCATCTTTAAATAAGGCAGAATATTTTTGGTGTTTTATTTTATACCCTTGTGTATTGCTTCAACACATTATAAACCGAATGAACTGAAATAACGCTTTTTAATGTAAAATACACATCTAATGTTTTATTCTTAAACAAAATTTGCTAATACTACTACAGAAAAACTGTTTAGTAAGTTTCTGAAAGCAAAGGGAAAACTTTTGCTGATCAGAATGTCTACTAGCTGCGTAATGTATTTTGCAATATTTATCTGTAGAAAAGTGAAAATATTTATTTGAAATTCTGAAAATTGAAATTTCTTCACGAGGTCGAAAACCAAAATTTGAAATGTAAAATACTGTACAGAAATCTAAACTCGATTCTTTGAGAAAACGAATTTCAAAAAGTAAAGGCTTGATTTTAGATTTTCCTAAATCCGTATACCCAATTAATTTTCTGCTTTATATATTGACTTCGATTTTCGGTGTCTTCTGACAACTGTCTTTCGAAAAATTTTATGTAATAAGATGTTGCTAAGTTATACATTGCCATAATTACAAGTGATTTATTATTCATTAATTATATTTAATGGTATTTCCAAATAGAAGTCTTGTAATGAATAATTGTACAGTTTTAGAAATATTAAAACATTTAAATTTTAGTATGACACAATCTTTTACTTTTAATAATGTCTGGATTCTTTTGGACATTCTTCCTATAGAGACTTTGCTAGTGCTACAGATCGTTATTATAATTTCTCATTCTCTGGGCTCTTTGAATTAGTTTATCCACTTTTTTTACTTCTTCTTCGTAGGTTTTTATATTTGAAAATGTTCCATATTTATTGAGGTTCATATCGAAAATATTTTAGGCCGACCAAGTATCTGAAGTCCTTTAGAAGTAAAATACTTTTTTCTGAACCCTGGATGTATAGCAAGTGGTATTGCCTTGTTGAAACATTGCTCTTCCAGAGGAAGCGCACTACCTTAGGTTGTAGGAAAGAGACATTTTTCCAACATGTTTTGTATTTTTGTGATTTTACACTCCCTTTAATTATTTCTATGTGTCTGTTACCATAAATGTATATTCAGCTTCAAATCATTAAAGATGGATTGAGCTTAGTTCAAATGCAGCCTTCTTTTTAAATTTCTCCTTACAAAACTGCCATTTGGCAAATATAGGTGGCTGCAATCTAATAGCCCCGCACTTGTGGCTGAGCTTTCAACACCCTCTTCCTTATCTTATGATTCTCATTCATTAGATGTTTTACTTCCATATTTTTCATTTCTGGTAGAGCTGACGAAACTTGGAAGTGTAAGAAAGATTTAACATTAGAAAATAACGGATTAATTAAAACAAACCTTACAACTAATAATAATGTCTTTTTCACCTTACCGAGATCCCTTTGTTGGTTATCAGTGCCTTGCATTTACGAAGATTTAGAAGTTTCGTAAGACTAAAAGAACTGTGAAACATTTATCGTTATGATTTCTTTGAATTCATTATTATAATAGCAATACAAGAACTATTGTTATTATGTAAAAAGATGCGCAAAAAAAAAAAAAAAAAAAAAAAAAAAAAAAAGAAGACAGAGGGAGAGAGAGAAAGAGATGTGTTATCTTATACCATGCAGCCAACCCGATTGCCTGGATTCGAACTTAGGGCAAACTACCAGCTTTCAGCTGTCTTAATCACTCGACTATTGGTATTATTCATATTATTAACACCAGACGTAAATAACTAGACATAGACTTAGGCCACTGCTATTAGTCATATTATTAACACTACACATAAAAGGGAAACTTATTTTTAATGAATCTGTAGCTTACTTACTCGCACATTCCTAAGACTCCAAACATTTTATTTCTAGACTCCGCAGTTCTTCTAGGAGTATTGCAAACTGCCACAAATCTTCAAAATCTCCTTTTCCAATTTAAGATTCTAGTGTAAGTGGTACCACGCTGTTCAAGCCCGAATATTTAAGGGTCAATGGGATTCTGATTTAACTGAGAGTCAGTTAAGTTTTCTTGTGAAGGATACTCTGAATGTGTTCTTAGAAGAAATTTCAACGAGTAGAAATCTTATTCTTTCTTTTCTATTGCTTTATTTAATATATCTCCATTTAACAATGATAATAACTTTATGAAAGGAAACAATTTCTTAAAGTTAAAAAACCTCTAAAAAACGAACCTCGGCCTTTTTTCTCGTTTCAAGACTATAAGTTGCTACGTTGATAAAGTTACTCTTCTGAAAGCGAAAAGTAATATAAAACTCATAATACCATGTTATTCAAAATTCCGCCAATGAAACTCACGTTTTTAGCCAATCTATCCCTATTTAAAATTTTTTTCTATTATATTTAATTATAAGATTCAGTAATTTTATCGTAGTATTTCGTCTTTATTGTAAATAAATATCCTAATTACATTGATGCGGTTATTCAGGACATCCGTAAGAAATTGAAATTTTCTGTTTCTTCAGATACTTTTATATCGCAGTTAAAGACTACACATAGAGAAGTCGCAGAAATAATGTAATAAGTAATGTAATCTTATTGTTTTCTACTCACATATCCAGTTTTAGAAATATTAATAGTATCACTTTTTACTTTATTTTAAACTTTCATGCATTAACCTCTCATATATCATATTTATCTTGCTATTAAGTTGGAATATTTGGTATTAAACTCCACTAATTCAAAGTACTGTAAAATGAGGTAAAATTTCATATGATATAAAGAAACGCACCAGTTTTAAATTTGAAAATTTATGCATGTTTTGATAAAACAGTTGTCTACAATAAATTTAAATGTGATTTTTTTTTGTAATTTTAACTAAATTTTAAATTAAAACTTGTTATTTTGTTACTAAACAACACTTACTAAACTTCAAGTTTCAAATATACTATTCGTTTACATATGTAATGTTTAATATTTTATTATAAGATGCAAAATCAATGATAAAAATCGCAGTTTTAAAAACAAGAACTGCAGCTTTAAAGATAAATAGTTGTAACAATTACTTAGATTTTGATCCCATTGTTAACATCAGAACACATATCTCTGAAACTTAATATTTTAACTATAAAGCATTCCCCCAAGAAAATTTAAACAATAAACAATTTTATTCTAAAAAGGAAGTTTAAATGACGTTAGTTCTTAACTCAGGTTTGTAAATTATTAATTTTTTTATTAATGTAATAAAGGTGACTAGTAATTTTATAGTTTAATGCTAAACATTTTCAGCAAAATATGAAACTTTTCGAAAGAAAACCGTTTAAATAAGTCTTGCTAAAGACACTAGTTGAAAGACAGTGGATGCGGTCTAAATTCAATACATTCTTTCGTACGCAGCAGTACATATCGAACTTTACAAATTATCGATATGTTTGAAATTTTCTCAATTCTTATTACTCCGAACTTCTATACTTAGCCATGTTTCCATTTCCATTAAAAATTGTGGTCTAATAATTTCGATAAATTAGTCTCTGATATTTAAAAATGTTTCTGATTTTTATGTTACTTAATACTAGTTATACTGATTAGTCTTACTATAAAATAGTGTAAATAATTAATAATAATAAAATGCTATACAGAATAAAAAATTCTGAACGTTTGATATAAAATAAGTATTCGTTTATATCCCCCTACATAATACCGATTTTTCATTTCTTCATTTTCTTGAATTTAAATTTCTACCAAAATTATTAAAAACTTTTCAACTTATCTTTTTTTCCTTTTAATTTCAAGCCCTTCGTTGAAATCAAGGTGGAGAAACAGAGGCACCGGCGATCAAAGCGAATGATTGGCCTGAATTGTGAAGAGAACGCTGATGAAGTTCGATGCTGTCGTTATCCTCTAACAGTGGATTTTGAGGAGTTTGGCTGGGATTGGATCATTGCTCCGAAGAGGTACGAGGCAAACTATTGCAGCGGGGAGTGTCCTTATGTTTTCCTTCAAAAATATCCTCACACACATCTTGTCCAGCAAGCCAATCCTCAAGGTTCGGCTGGTCCTTGTTGTGCCCCAAGAAAGATGTCTTCGATATCAATGCTATACTTTGATGCTGACTTTAATATCATATATGGCATGTTACCCGGGATGGTTGTGGATCGATGCGGATGTTCATAGTGATATCTACATCGATATTAGTTATACTTGTCTTTCGAAAGACTTCGATGCCTGTTCACTCTGTGATCTTTTTTCGCACACGAGGACTGTGGGAAAGGCTCTCTGTCACAAGCACATGTGGGAAAGGTTTTATGTCACAAGAGACCACCTATTCAATTACACTCAACAGTGCGCAACAAACCGACATCGCTGCTGTGCAGTTATTTATTATGTCAAACAGGGATCTAAGTAGTTGCGTGAAGAATGGATACGAAACCACGACACGTTAGAAGTTCATAACGTCAGAATTAGTTAATTCAAAGATTGACTACTTTGAAATACTTATGTGACAATTAGGATTTATTGACGTTTTTCTTCAAATAGCACTGTACATGTTTTATCCAAGATTGCAAGGTTATTAGCTGTTATCTCTGTATTTTTTAGAAAGAATAGTTATTTTGGACATTAGAACAATTGTGATGATCTATACCAAACACAAGATGAATTGAAAAATGAAATTAGCGTCTAGTTTGTTGACTTTCATTTCATGTGAGTGAAAGCTTAATTTAAGTTTAATATGTGCGGTTTATTTATTTTTTTCAAACGTTGTTTTATTTAATTTTTTTATTTAATTTTTTTATTAAAGTTTCGCCCGGAATTATTAGGAAAGTTTATTATAGAGAGTGATATTAAATAAAATTTTATCTGAATTGTTTTTGAAAAATACCTAATTGTCTTCTTACGTTAATATGTGTTTATTAATCCTTGTAGTGTGTATTTCTTAAAAGATAATATGTTTTGTATTATATTGTTTCAATCTTATCGTATAGTATCATATTTTAATCTCATTTTGGAGTATTATATTTTAATTTCGTATGACTGGCCATCTAAAAGTTAATTTATGTTACTTAACTTGGCGAAACTGTTTTTCAGCTAATCAAAATCTAAGGAGAGAAATATCTTTGTAGGTATAACAACCAAGTTCACTTACGGTTACCTGAAAAGAATGCTAATTTGTTTTTTATTAATGTTTTGTTTGGTTTTTTAACGCAAGCATATAGTTGCTATTTTAATCATTTTTTCCAAGCAAAAAAGTTGTTGATTTTTTTCCCTCTAATACGATCAATATTTTGTATTGCGTAATAACGCAGCTTAAGGTACTTACCTACTTTCTATCAACCATGAAAGTTGACAGAAATCCCACCAAGCTTGTGCCCATCATTCCGGCGGAACTTTGAAGGAACATATAATTTTTTATATAGTTAGGTAATCAACAGATACAAATCACGGATATAGCATGTAAAAAATTAAGTAACAATGAGCTCAAATTTTTGACGTTCATTCCAGCGAAAGAAATAAAGGCCCTTGTCATGCCCATTAACGCACATTTTTTTTAATTCCCAAAGCTTTGAAAATACTCCACTGCATGCAGTTACGTTGAAGTCTAGTTCCAAATTTCGATCATTTTTTCGAAATGCCAGCGAAAACACAAAAATAGCAATTACCTTATATTCTTCTTTTCTAAAAATGGCTTATCAGGGATTAATTTTAGTGTTCTTAAACTTAATATGTTTCACAAACATTAATCAATCAACAAATGGACTGTATTCCTACACTTTTATTTTATTACACTTGTCAGCGATGGCGAAATAATTGATACAAATAAGCGATCCATTCTACAATGGCTTCACAAAAACATTCTATCAATCAAATTATATTGTTGCCACACATAAAGTCAAAACTAAAGAAGAAAAACAAAGGATTACGCTGATTGCAACAAAAAATGAGGCAAACGACTCACATAAACATCCTGGCCCTCGTTGAAATCCCAGGGGATTTCAACAGTTGGAGCATTTTGAAACTTCTTAGTCTGTAATAAAGATAAACATAAGAAAAATAATACAAAATATTATATGCGAAGCAGTTCAGTTCGATGAAATGGTCGCGATTGTGTTACTCTAGATTCCGGTAGATCAGCCATTATTTGACTTGCAGTTTTAGCTCTAAATTTGCAACACGTGATACAAGATCTTACTACTTTTCGGATAGCAGATCTAGCAGCTATGATCCAAAATTGTTTTCTAATTAAAGATAGAAGAAGTTCCGGTGCTGCATGCAGATATTTGACATGAAAGTGTCTAATTATGATTTCTGTCAGATTGTGTTTTGAAGGTAATAAGATTGGATGTTTTTCATTTTCTGATAGTTGCGCATTTTCAGTCTTCCTCCTACACGTACACTTTGTTGTCATCTAAAATTGGAACACAGCTAAGAGGGTTGCTGTTTGTAGATAAGTCCTTTCCCAACTCCAAACATTGAATTTCTTTAAAAAAGTGAAATCGCTGTATTATTCGGACAATACAGAAAGTTGCAGCTCGAATTTCATTACTAGATAAAAAAGACGTATTTCTTTCTAGATATGCTACTTTAGAATTGGATATGAATTTTAATATCCAAGCAAATATGTGTTGTAACTTTGGAAATGAAGATATATTTGATATCATAGCAAGTTCCTGTACAGGTTCAGAAACTACAAATGAGACTGTTTTACGTGCATCTGGTAATGCCTCTTCATCTATAAGAATATTTTTAGACAAGGCAATCTCACTGCACTTTAACCAAGAAGGACCATTCCACCACCAATTGATGAGATAATAGTTCTGCAGGAAATAATCCACGTGAAGCACAATCAGCTGGATTTTCCTTTCCATCAACATGACTCCAGTTCTCAGGTGGTAAGATGGATTGTATTTCAGAAACTCTATTGGATACGAATACTTGCCATTTTTTAGGATCTGACCTTAGCCATGACAACACGATTTGTGAATCACTCCAAGCTTGCACTAAATCAAAATTTATAACTAATGCAGCTTTTACAGACTGAATCAAGCGTGCCAATAACACTGGCTGCACATAATTCCAGTCTTTGGAATCGTAATAGATTTTAATGGTGCTACACGAGTTTTTTAGCTGTTACGAAGTTTAACATTAATGTCAGAGTTATTGCAAGTTTTGATATAAATAACTGCTGCATAACCACTTTCAGACGCATCACAAAATCCGTGAAGTTCACACATCGAAAATAATCAGGTAGCAGAATTTTCCTAGGTATATTATAGAATTCAAAAGTTTAACTTCTCTACATAGATTTCTCCAATTTCGATCAATCTCTTCTGTTACAGGATCATCCCATGATAACTGTAATTTCCACAATTGCTGAAGGATCATTTTAGCGAGAATTACAAACGGAGCTATCCACCCCAATGGATCGAATAGTTTTGCTACGAATGACAAAATAATTCTTTTAGTCGGAACACTTTGATACTCTATTACAGAGACATTACATTTGAATTCATCATTGTCCGGATGCCATTCCAATCCCAGAACTTTCAATGGTTTGTCTTCTATTACACGATGAATATTGTCACTATCTGTGTTTGTTAAGCCAGAGGTTTTTAACAATGACGGTTCACTTGTCGACCATTTGTGAAGCTCAAAGCCACCACTTTTTTAGCAGTTGTTGCAATTCGTCTATCAATGCAATACCTTCCGAACTATCTTTTACACCATTTAACATATCATCAACATAAAAATCTCTTAAAACTATATTCTTTGCCTTTGGAAAGTTCAATTCTTCATCAATCGCTAACTGACTCAAAACTTTGGTTGCAAGATATGGAGCAGCTGCTGTTCCATATGTAACTGTTTTCAAACGACAAACTTGTATTTGCTTATATACGGGCTATCTCTCCATAATATTCTCTGAAAATCTCTATCTTTTTCATGAACCTTTATCTGTCTGTACATCATTTTAATATCAGCGGTTATTGCAATGTTATGAAGTCTAAATCTTAGTAAAATAAGTCATCTTGTATTTTTGGGCCTATCATTAGTGTATCATTTAAAGAAACACCTGTGGTTGTTTTAGCGCTCGCATCGAAAACAACTCTCAATTTTGTTGTTAAGCTAGAGTCCTTCAACACGAAGTGATGTGGGATATAATAGTGTTTATTCTCTAATTCATAATCTGTGTCTGGCACTAATTCTACGTGTTCTAGTGAAAAGTACTTTTTTATAAACTGAATATACTGGTTGTAAATTTCTTTCATAGATAACAGCCTCTTCTCCAAGTATTGAAATCTTCTGTACGCCACTTCACGGGAGTCACCTAGAATATCTCTTTTATGTTTGAATGGTAATGCAACTGAATAACGACCTGATGTGTCTGTAAATGCGAGTTTTTAAAATGTTCTTCACAAAGTTTTTCTTCATTTGTTAAAGGTTGTACATTTGGAAATTTTTCTAACTTCCAGAAAGAATTTACTAACTCATCTGTGTTTGTATTCAAATGATTTACATATACTGGCTCAAAATTTGTAGATTCAAAATTTGTAGTACCCGAAATTATCCATCCCAACCTCGAATTTAGAGCAAATGATAGATCAGGACCACGTTTGACAATTTCTCTCCCGTCATTAAATGCAGAAATACATTTACTCCAATAAAATGTCAACTGGTTGTGACTTGTAAAATAATGGATCAGCTAATTGTAAATCACTGAAGTTATCGAAGATGATTGATGGCAAAGATACATAGGGAATGTTATCTGTCACCTTGTCCAGTACAAACGCTGATGTTGATACACGAATATCACTTTTAAAATGAGAAGTGAATACTAAATCGACTTCCCCATTACTTATAGTATTAAATTCTCCTAGACATGATATAGAAATGGAATTATCTTTCACTCGTAATCCTAATTTCTTCACACAATCCCTTGAAATAAATGATCTCTGAGATCCAGTGTCACATAAACATCTACACTTCACAAATTGTTGCTTAGAATTTTGAACTTTTATTAAAGCAGTACACAATAAAATGTGACTGGTTTGATTACCTTTTGCATTCGAATCATAATGAGAGGCACAAACTGTAGCTGAAACGTCCTTAGGACTCGTTAATTCATCTCTTTTAGGGATAGATTGCGTAGGCGGAGATATACTGTTTAACTGAGTTTTATTCTTTGAATTATTTACAATGTGCAAAATACTGTGATGCTTCTTAAAGCAATGTTGACATGTATTTAAACTCTTGCATTTTTTGAGCAAGTGCATATTAGATAAACAATTAAACAGTAACGATTAGATTTTTACAAATTCTATCCTTTGCTGAACCGATAAATTTAGAAATTTCGAACATTTGGCTAAACTATGATCTTCTTTACAATAACCACAACCCAAAGTAGCAACCAGAACATTATTCTTATTTTGAAACACAGATTTAGGTACCTTATTACTTGTTGAACTTTGCTATTTTGAAGTGTTCTTGCATAGTTTTTTAGGAATTCAATTTAAAGTCGTAAGTTTTGGAATTTCATTACATTTTAACTGACGTTCCCACCATAATTTTTGTAGAAGGGTCTAATTTTGGCAAAATTAAATAAGTCATTAAAGTGTCACCAAAATTATCAATGGTTTGATTCAATACTTCTAAAGAACGAATTACTTCATTAATATTGTCAACTAAATTTAAAATAGCAAATGCTGATTCATTTTGAATAGTTGGTAAACTTAAAAAACGTTTAATAAATGCAAAAATTTGTTCTCTCTTATTTGAATATCTTTCGTCTAACAGATTCCATGCTATTTCAAAATTACAATCCGAAATTTGAATGGTTTGAATAATGCGATATGCTTCACCTTTCAACGAAGCCTTCAAATACTGCAATTTTTTAGCATTAGATAAATTTGTATTATTTCTACACAAGCACTGAAAAGATCTTTAAAAGCTATCCATTCTGTAATATTACCACCAAAAGTCGGTAATGTTAACTTGGGTAATTTAATATGTCAAGAACCTGTTCTGAAATTACACCATTAGAACTATTTTTATTATTTTGATTTTTTAATATTTTTTCACCTTTAAATTTCCACAAATAAATTTTATCTGTGTACTCCTGAACATTATCTATTTCGTTTTATAATTCTTTAGTATCTGTAATTAAACTTTCGATTTCAGAATCAAGCTTCCTTAACTCAGTTTCTTTTTGTGTCAATAATTCAACACATTCCTCTAGTTCTATTAAATTAATTTCATATGCAGTTAAAATAGTTTCAATTTTCTTTACATAATTAGTAACACTCCTGCGTAAGACCGCTCTTTTTTGTTTTAAAAGTTATAAGTTCACTCATAATTGATCAATTCAAAAACAGAAATTGTTCTTAAATCACTTAACACTATTATTAAAATGAAATCGAATTCTATGTTGTATTACAACATTGTTCTTAAAATTTAACAACAAATTAAACGAATTTTTGTTCAAAATCCACTTACCTCACAAAGTGGATAATTTTCACCAACCATATGCATATTTGTGTTGTTAGAATACACTTAGAACAGTCACTATCTTCACTAGCGCTCCGGCTCGACGGACCAACAATAAATGTTCTTAAACTTA